GTCGAGACCCCCGGGCCCCCAGCGCCGCCTCCGGAGGAGCGGATCTCCGGACCCCATGCCAGCAGCGACAGGGTGAGTGCCACGCCGGGCGTGGGTGGCCTGGATGGGTGGTGGTCTGAGGTCTGGAGATTTGGAGAGGGACAAAGGTAGCCTGGCTGGGGCTCAGACTTTAGCTGTCAGTATTTCTGGTTAACACGGGGGCTTAGATTTTAACCCCTTTGTTAGATTTTCTACCGACTAATCTGAGCCCCAAATTGTCCTGTTTCCTGTTAGGGCCGCAGAACTGGTGACCTCCTCCCTCATGGGTACTCTCAGCTTTGCAGCCTCTCCACCCTGATCCTGGAGTTTTTTTTTTTTTTTTTTTTCTTCCTAACGGACATTGAGAAGCAACCCTCTCCGCCCCCCTTTGCTGGTTTATGGCCTTTGTGCCCTCTATGTAGCAGCAGCTTCTCTGCCCTTTGATCTCTTGACTCTTTCCCCCTCAAGGCAGAACCCGCACAAAGCTCCCACCCCACCTCCTCCTCTCCTCTTTCTCCTTCCTCCCACCCTGTCCTGGAGTTCAGGCATCCTTGCAGTCTGAAGCTCCAGAGAGGAGCGGAAAAGTGAGATTTCTTATGTGAACACAGCCAGTGCTGGCCTTTGCCTTTCCTAGTGAGATTTGAGGGGGTGAGCTGTTGGACTACGGACACCAAGATGGGCATTGTGCAGTTCCTCCCGAAGAAACTCATCACTGGGGTACAGACGCAGCCCTTCCGGTGTCCCCCCAGTATGAGGACACTTGGTGGTCAGGACCTGTTGCCCAGTTAGGGCTGAGCAGCTAAATCCATTCACCATCTCCTCTTGGTTTCCCTCTTCCTCCGTCCATTCTGAGAGGCTGGAGCTTTTCTTGGGTCTGAAGACACTGGGGGAAAGAGGAAAACTCCCAACAGTTTGTTTCCCAGGGCATCTGCCTTCCCTTTTAATTCCGGTTTTATCCTGTCCCGGAAGACAGACAGCTAAAAGCTGTCCTTAGTCTCCCCTTCCCTTCATTGGAAGACGGTAGGTAACTCCGTGAGCCACCCGCGGCTCTGTTACCCTCCACGTGTCTGAGAGCTAGTCTCTCCCGGCTATTCACCTCTCAGCAGCGAAGATTTTTATCTGATTAGAAAGCAGTTAATGTCTGAATCCTCAGGTTTCAGAACTGGGGTTTTCAGCCAAGAGAGCACTGTTCAGCGAGGCATCCTGGATAAGAGAGATGTGTCAGGGTAGGGACAAGAGTTCCAGATGTGTGAACCATTCCTCCCATAGTTCCATCCAAAGAGCATGGCTGACCATCCTGGCCAGCATCTTTAAGCTGTAAAGGAAGGTTCAGGGGCACTTTTTCCAGGCTGTACTGTCTCCTTTCTAATTCCCCCCGCTGCTGTGTAATGTGATGATGGTATGGCAATGAAGCAACGGGGAATAGCTAGCCCTTCCAACCCACTGACCAGTTAGTCTCCTCCTCTCTGGTCACTGGCTGTTGGCCCATGGCCTAAGCTGTCCTTGGCTGTTCTCCTCCCTGTAGTGGCTTAGAATGACCGAACAGGCTGCCCACCAGGCTGTGGGTTCCTCCAGGAAAGGCCCGCTTTTTTTGTTGTGTTATGTTTTGTTTTTTCTTTCTTTCTCTGTCTCTGAAGTGTCTGACACAGTCCTGAAATGGTGTCTGTCCATTCTCAGGGTGGCCTAACTGTCAGGGACTTCCAAGACACAGTTCTGCTTTTTCCCAGAAATTTCCAAGGAAGGAGCTGTAGCCATACATGCAGACCCTTAGCGTCTTTTTGCCAAGACCGTCTAGGCTTCAGTTGGGTCAGCTCTGATCTGTGGGTTTGTTCAGACCTGGGGGAGGGGGCGCACAAGAGGTGTCTGATGCTCTTGTCAGCCAGCCACAGAGACAGGAATGAAATCCAACAGGCTCTCCCAGGAGCCACACAATCTGTGCTTTCTTTGGTGGGTGTGATAAAGGATCCAGGATGTGCCATCTGAGCTGTCCCAGGGGCTGACCTAGGGCTTCTCGTTTTTCAGAGATCAATCAACTCTCTGTCATCTAGGAGCAGACTTTGGGAAATCCCAGAGTCTTCCTTTGGGAAAAGCTAGGTCCAACAAGGTGCCTGAGCTCTTACCCCAAACCAAGTGGCAAGACACCCCCAGGGCCTACTGAGTGACATGTACAATGCCATCTCTGAATCTCTACTCCCACTGTACCATTGTTTTTATGCTGTGTGGCTGCTTCCTTCCTCTTCTCAGCTCTGCAGAGCTCCTTGGCTGGCAGAAAGAGGAGCCAAAACACTCCAGGAGGGGCTGTACCCTGAGAATGGATGAAATGGGTAGAAGTGCTTCTACACTAGGCTGGAGAAGCCAATGAGCCCACAGGGTGAGGAGGCAGGAGGGAATGGGGAGCTGGACAGGGCCCTGAGGACCCGGAGGTTCAGTAGCCTTCTTCCTATGCAGGGCTCTCTGGCTGCCAGCCCACCCTGAAACCCACTGGTGTAATTGGCAGAGACACAGAGCTGACCATCTGGCCAGGCCTGGCAGGGCAGGTGTGGGAACAGCAAGATCAACACCCTGCAACCGGCAGCTAGGGCCTGGCCAGATGGCCCCCAAAACAACTCCCTCTGGTGCTGGGCCCTCATCCCACCTCCAGACTTTGCTCTGGCAGAAGGGCCAGGGTGTTGGGTCTCCTCTTCATTCGTTCACTGTTTTCCAGGCTTCAACAGGAAAAATGTGATCTAATTAAGGAAAGGGAATGAGGCTGTGATTAAATGAAGGCTGAGTTGCCTATCACATCTGCAGTGTGTCCTCTGTGATGCCAATAGAAGGTGAGACCTGACAGGGATAATAAAACAAGGAGCCCCATATTGAAACCAGGCCTCTTATTTCTAGCTCATGGGTGAGGCCCTAGGGCTCCTAAGCACCCAGAAATTGTTTGTAGATATTTCTCATTTTTATGGGGAAAGGCTCATAGCTCTCAAATTTTAAGAGGAGTGTATAACCTCTCAAAGTAGTATTGAAAGCTTAAAAAAATTATTAACAGTTAAAAAATGTATATATGTTTATGTGTATCTGTGTATGGTTTTGTGTCTGTGTATGTAGTGCCCTTGGAGGCCAGAAGAGGGCATCAGTGAGCGACTAGATGTGGATGCTGAGAACCAAACTCAGGTCATTTTCAAGAAGAGTGTGTATCCTTAACTACTGCACCCTATCTCTAGCCCTATACTGAGAACCTTTTAAAAAATTTAAACGTTTATGTATATTGTGTGTGTGCTCACATACAGACACACATGGGAAGATGAGAGGAATTCTGGGAGCCCATTCTTTCCTTCCACCATATGGGTCAAAGGGATCAAACTGAGATAGGCTTGGTGGCAAGAACCTTTACCCCCTGGCCTGAGTGCTGGGAAGGACACCTGTTCCTTGTATGTTTTTCTTTTCTCTTATTTTTCCCCCTTGAGCTCGCCTTCCCATGCCTTCACAGAGTATGGAAGTCTAATCAGCTTATCTTGTGTGCTTATTCTGTGTTGGAGATAAAGGGGGAAAGTCATGTCAAAGGGAGGAGTCCAGGGGAGTGACTTCTGTGGCCCAGTTAGACCAGCCCTGGGCTGGTTGTCTGTGTTATCGCTGGCGCTTCAAGGATGGCTAAAGAACGTGACTGCTGATAGACTGTGGGGTTGGCCTTGTTTCCTTAGTGCTGCCCCCTCACACTGCAGAACCACAGTCTGGAACCAGATCTCTGGGAGACATCTGCCCTGACTTGACCAGTGAATGGCTTGCTCAGAATCTCAGCCCTTACACTCTGCCTTTTGAGAGCTGGCAACAGCTGAGCCCCTGGTGCTCATGGATAGGAAAAGCAAGTCCTGGTTGGGCCGAGTGCTTAGAGGGCTGGGCCCTACGTATTCTACTTGTCCTCATCCCAGAACCAACATGACATTATGTAAGAACAAATATGGGGCCCAGCTTCTGCATGCCATGAGCTTGTGGGTAACTCCAGAACTCCTCCAGGTGCTTCATCTTCCTAGAGCTTATTTTGTGTCTTATCAGCATGAGCTCCTGAAGGACCCCAAACTTTGGTCTCCTGGTCCTTAATAATACAGGGGCTGGCATTTACTGAACACATGTCTTGTGTCTGGTGCCATTTTCCAGCAGCTAATGTGTATTGGACTAGTTAGTGTTTATATAAGGAAGAGTCTATCCCTGGCTTGTACATAGGGAACTGAAGCACAGGAATGCTGAGTCCCACTTACAGGGCTTCTCAGCTAGCAAGAAGTAGCTCTGAAGTTTACAATGCAACAGGACTCTGAACTGAGCGCCATGCCTAGGCCCTCAGTACCTGCCACCAGTGCCCAGTAGAAAGGTTGTGTTCATGCAGCATTTGCTAACTAGCCATGCAAGACTCTTGGAGAAGGGATGATGTAGTTCAGTGCTAAATTCACTGTTTCCCAAGTACTAGAGCCTAGCACTGGTGGGACTGTCTTAAAGTGAACACAGACATGACATACCCAAGGCTTTACAAGGATTGGTGGTGGCAGCCACATGTCTGTGGTGTTTGTTTTGTAAATATGGCATTGCTTTTATAATTAGGAAAGGGGAAATAACCTATATGATTTATGTTGGCATCTCCCAGGCATATACAATAGGAGAAGGTATTACAGTAAGTAGGAGCAGCAGGGACAGATGTGTGACCTCAGAAAAGTAAGTGCTGTACTGTTCACCACACTGATTAGTTCATAGGTTCTCAGTGATGTAAATACATTGGGGAAATACTAAATTAAACAGAATCAGACTGTCTGCAGGCAAGTGATTTTTTTTTTCTCCATTGCTAAAGATTGAACTGGTGGTGATGGTGGGATCTTGTAATGCTAGGCAAATGCTCTTGTCACTGAGCTATGTCCTCAGCCCCTAAACAAAAATATAAACCTAAAAATTAGCTGGGGGGGGGGGACTGGAAACACCTGTGAAAGGTCACTAAATGTAAACTTGAAGCAGTGGAGGAAATACGCAATGAGGGATTTGGGGGACTCTGGAGTCCCCAAAGTACTAGTTCTGTCACCCCCATGGATAGGATCAGGAACATGTTGCTTGGGCCAACTGGAGAGTGGAAGATGGCAGCAGATGGCAGGCCTGTTAGCTACATTGCGAGAGGTGCGGGCAGGAAGGAGATTAAAAGGCTAACAGCCGCTCTGGGAGGGCCACTGCCCAACTGAACAGATGAGTGGCGGGATCCTAGAGACAGCCTACCGGATTGCAGAAGAGAGAGCAGGGAGTGACACAGGGCCCTTTGAGTAGCAGCTACTTTACCTCCTTGTTGAGAAATATTTTAGTGTCATGCCAGCTAGAACACAGGATGTGTTTAAATATCACCTTTGTGTTAGGTGCCTTTCCAGTACCCTAACTGGCAGTTCCTCCCATCTGCCCTTGAGCCAGAGGCTTTGATCCCTATTCAAAAGTAGACTCTCTCAGAGCCTGATCCTCCCACCGCCACTAGTCACTCGGGTCACTCAAAGATCAGAGTGACTGGGGTGGGGGTTGTGGCATGTTGGTGTCACTTCTAGGAAAGAAGCCTGTGTATAGGAGCTCTAGTTAATATGAATTCGAAATATACTGTGTGCTGGGGCTGTGACGGGTATTGGGCGAAACAGTGGGCACATCAGAGGGAATCAGGGGGTCATAAACAACAAATCATAGTAGGCCAAACATAGTCCTTAGGGACAGTTTTTCTGTGAGCAGTTTATCCTCCTGTAGACACAGAAACACTGGGCAAGCGGGCTTGGCTCTGATTGGAATTTTCTGTGCCCAGAGTGGGTACCAGTCTTGCCAGCCTTCCCTGCTGGTGACTCTGCTGCCACTCCTCTTCTAGGCCTTGTGGGTAGCTCTCTGGGTGCCCCAGCCTAGGGTGGGGGTCTGGGGCTTCCCAGAGCAGGGTGTGGAGCCAGGAGTGGAACAGAGGAGCCATTGAGCTGCCTGTAGAGCAGCCACCTGGTTTCCCACAGGCACTGTCAGCTGGTGCCGGGGAAGCCCACACCATCCTGGGAGGGGTCAGGACTCCAGGGAGAGGCAACCATGTGCAATTCTAACCAGGCTTGCAGAAGCGGGCCCTGGAAGGACTCTGAAGTGGAGCCCCAGGAAGGGGGCTCTGGCAGAGCTGCCAGCAGTGGGCAGTGGGTGATACTGTAGATGCCACTGACCTGGAAGAAAAAAAGCTGGAGATAGTGTGATGGATTTGAACAGATTCATTTGTTTCCTGGAGAAAGGAGGACTTGGGGATGAAGGGCTTGGGTGATGGTGGTGATACAATAGAAAGATTTTTCTAGTGCCTTGGTTAGTTGCTTATTGGAGCTAGAGACACAAAAAGGAGAGTTCTGGGCTAGCAGATGGCTTGGGGGTACTGATGGGTTGGTGTGACGTACTCCGAGCAGGCAGGTATGAAAGGAAGTACAGGAGTTGAGGGCCAGACTAAAACAGGTAGTAGTAAACACCTGAGGATAAGATGGAGACAGTCACTGGGATAACCTCAGAAACCTATAGGTGGACCAGGTGGGGTCAAAGGAACAGCCAAAGGGATGCCTGGGCTAGGGTTGGTTCTTTCTCCATCTCATCCTTCCAGGGGTCCCCATTCTCAGAGCCTCTCACTGAGGGCAGGGTGGTCACCTGGCTCAGCTGGCTCCCACAGCTCTGGTCCAGCTCAGATCTGAAGTCTAAGCTTCAATTTGGTGAAATGCAGGTGTGGCCTCTCCCTGTGCCACAGGCCCCAGAGCCACCTCTGATACCACCAGTGACCCAGTGAGTGGTGCAGTGCTCCAGGGTCTGTCTTGGCAAGTCCCACCTTCTCCTGCCCAATTTGGAAAAAAACTCTATTGTCCTCTGCCCTGTCCTGTCCTGCGCATCTCAAGTTCATCTGCTCTGACTGTGAGAAGACTAATGGCTAACCTCTGTATGAGAAAGAGATGGGCATCTGGGACATGGAAAGCTAAGACTGGCTTTCTGCATCCTGGCCACTGGGAACTCAGGGGGTGTCAGTAGTGTCCCAAGCTGCCCCAAGGCATTTCTCTCCTAGGAGGCTGAGAAGCCCACTGGCTGGCTACACGTTAATAACACAAATAGCAAGAGTTCCAAATTTGATTTTTCCATTTAAGCAGAATGATTTTGGGTGTTTGCTAACTACCTGTTCTCCAGAGATGGTGGTGATACAATCATCACCATCACCTGTTCAAAGAGAGTGTATGATACCCACATGACAAGGACATGATAAGGATCAAATGACAGAATGGTGACAAAGTGATGTCTCTGCTTTCTTTTCTTTTTGTGTTTTGTTTGGTTTGGTTTGGTTTTTGTTTGAGATGGGGTCTTACCATATAACTCTGGCTGGCTTGGTATTTGATGTGTAGACCAAGCCTTGGCCTTCTGAGTGCTTAGGGTTACGGGTGTGTGCTGCACCATCTGCTTTATTTTCTTCAAGGTCACTGGCTGTTTCTTCATTGAACATCTGAAGTGTGGCGGGCTGCTCTGCTCTTCCAGCTCTTGCAACACATCTGTAACCAGTGCTTTTGAGTTCTCTCTGTTGAGCCACTGTGTATAGGCTATTGTCCAGCTCAGACTCTCAGATACATTTCTAAGACCCAGGGCCTTCTTGCTGGCTGTTTAGCCTAGGACATGACCATGAGGCAGAAAATTAGCAGGAAAGAAAGAAGTCCTGCCTCTGTCTAGGAGATAGAATGGCCTGCCTTTGTCTGAGCCTCGTTCTGTTTGCTGACTTCCACAGTTGGCAATCCTAGAAGACTATGCGGACCCGTTTGATGTTCAGGAGACTGCTGAAGGCTCAGGAGGAACTTCAATGGCTCCAGAGAAAGTCCCTGAAAATGATGGCTACATGGAGCCCTATGAAGCCCAGAAGATGATGGCTGGTAAGTACTGAGATGAGGGAGATGCTCCCCGAGACCTGGGCTCTGCAATACAAGTCTAAGGATTGGTCCTGTGGTCCCTGAAAATAGGGAGGAAACCTGTGCCAGGTCCCCAGTATAGTCATTTTGGAAGAGGTGTAAGGTGTGACAACTCAGGCCATAGAGGAGACCATTTAAGCAAAGATCCAGTAGAAGCACTGGAGACAGGAGGCTTAGGATAGTGGTATAGATCAAGTCAAATATCCCCAAAAGAGTCTGTCAGCAGCCTTTGGAAGTGTGAGGAGTTTGAACTGACATTATCAGAGAGGAACACTAACAGCAGTTGAGAATGTCCATGCATTAGATGTCATGGCATGGAACGAGTATTTCAGAGTTAGACAAGAAAGCACTGAGTCAGACCTGCCCTTGGGGAGCAGAGGCCAAGAGATGACCCCAGGAAAGAGTCAGAGTGGGGGTGAACAAAGAGGACTGGGCCAGGCCAAGAGAAGCACTGGCTCAGGTTCTGAGGTGGCAGAGACCGAGAAGAAGGCAGAGGCTCACGTGAAGAGTTTGGACCTGTGCTGAAGAAAGAAGCAGGGTCAATGTTGCATTTAAGGGGAGGTCTAAGGCCGAATGGACTAGAAGAGCTGCCTGTCATAAAGTTGAGTTAGCAGGCTATTTCAGAGATGGTTGGGCTTGTTGCTTCTTGATATTGTTGTGGTTTTGGTTGTTTTTATGAGACATGGTGTCAATATGTAGTCCAGGCTGGCCTCAGATTTACAGCAATCCTCCTGTCCTTACCTACCAAGTGCTGGGATTACAGGCATGTGCTACCATGCCCAGCCCAGTTGTTTGGGTTTTAAAGAGCCAGTAATTAAAAATTCTTTTTTCCTCTCTTTAGAGGAAATAATTAAGAAGTAAGATTAAGGAACTGGCTAATGGAGATTAAAATGTCAACTTTATTACCGATAATAACTGTGACAAGTTGATCAAAGAATATCACTTAGCGATGCTAACACAATGGGCTTCTTTATACTTTTCCAGAGAGTCAAACTCGCCCACTCAGGCTTGGTAGCACAGGGTAGCTGTGGGCCTCTGCCCAGGGACACGTGTCTCACTGCATGGAAGAGAAAGAACTGGAATTATTGTTTGTCTGCAAGAAGGCAGAGCTGAGGAAGAGAGTGAGCACCCACTGGCCAATCAGATAAGCTGTCCTGCCCTCCTCTTTGTTAGAGATGGGTGAAGGGACAGAGTGTTACCCTAGGAGCATTATTCCAGGGAGCCTTGGAAACCTGAGCCTCAAAAGTGGAAGTTTGTCCTAGTAAAAGTCTAGATAAGGAGAGGTGAGGTTGAAAGCCAGGAGGTATTGGCCATGAGCAAATGAGATTTAAAGAATGCCGTAGAGGGGCTGGAGAGATGGCCCAGCAGTTAAGAGCACAGATTGCTCTTGCAGAGGACCTGAGTTCATTTCCCAGCACCCATTTCTGGTGGCTCACAACAGCTTGTGGCTCCGGCTCCAGGGGGATACAACACCTCCGGCCTCTGTGACCAACTTCTCTTATGTGTGCAAACCTGTATCTTGACAGACACATACATATACTTAAAAACAAAATAAATCTAAAATGGGGGGGGGGGGAATGCAGTAGGGTCAGGCTCAAGGGAAACATCGTAGTGACCAGAAGTGAAGAAAGTAAGAACTCCACCCTGTTTAGGTCTGAGAGATGATAGCATGAGACATGAGTGTCCTAGAACAATATGTGAAAATGTAAGCTCTTAAGTGTTCATTTTTCTTTTGAGGGGCCTGGGCTCCCCCAGGGATGGTACTAGGCATTAAACCCAGGCCTCGTGCATGCCAAGCAAGTGCTCTACCACTGAGATACAGTCCCTGTCCTAAAGTACACATTTTTGTGACAAGTTAGCTCTGGGGCTTTTATCAGATTTGGGTCGGTGATCAAGGAGATTTTCTAACTCTGGAGAAGGCAGTGAGTCTGAAGGAAGCTGATGACAGAAAGAAGCATCATAGCAGCTGTTCGAAGAGGGCCAACACTCCAAACACAGTTGTGCTGTTAGAATGGGCAAGCAGTTGAGGAGTCAGGGTAGAAAGAAGTGAGACCTGGGCTTGGGAACAGAGGCCGAGAGAGGATCCAGGAGAAAAGACAGTGGGGGGAGAGAAGACAGTGATGACACTGACTTGTCAAAGGGGAAACTTTGTTTGTTTTTTGGTTTTTCAAGCAGAGTTTCTCTGTAGCTTTTGGAGTCTATCCTAGAACTTGCTCTATAGACCAAACTGGCCTGGAACTCAAAGAGATCCACCTGCCTCAGCTTCCCGAGTGCTGGGATTAAAAGTGTGCACGACCACCACCCTGCTCAAGGGGAAACTTTTAAGAGAAGAGGTCTGAGATGTATGAGCAACAGAGGGTTTCCTGGTTGTGATTATTTCAGTTGGAACAAGAGTGGAAATGAATAAGGAAGCGGGGCTGGGCAGTAAGGAAGACATGGACCAGAGCAGGACTGTGTCTCAGCTTCCCAGCTCTTGCTGGACATCCTGGGACCCTTCTCCTGTCTTTTACTTTGCCACTTGTCTGCCAGTTCCGCCACTGGGCACCATGCTTTGAGAGCCCAGGAAATGTTTCGAGTGTGAGGGACCAGGACTTGTGACTGCTGAGTTTCCCCCAGAGCAGGGCATCGGCTCTGAAGAAATACTAACGGAGATGGTCAGGGCTGTGCTTAACTCACTACACATTTTTCCTTTTTGCCCTGGCAGAAATACGGGGTTCTAAGGAGACTGCAGCGCAACCCCTCCCTCTCTATGACACACCCTATGAACCAGAGGATGAGGGAGCCAGCCCAGAAGGTGAGGGGACTCCCTGGCCCAGGGAGTCCCGCCTGCCTGAGGATGACGAGAGGCCTCCAGAAGAGTATGACCAGCCGTGGGAGTGGAAGAAGGAACGGATCTCCAAAGCCTTCGCTGGTGAGTCTTGCTGGCGAGGGCAGCTCTGCTGGGGCCTCTGAACAATTCCCAGGCTCAGGAGAATGGAACGAGTGGACCCTGGGAACCAAACATGGTCTAGGAGTGGAGTTCTAGAGCAGGATAGTTGGGACTTGGGCAGTGTGGATGCAGGGCTGTGGGCACAGTAAGAGTGAAGGTGTTTTTCTGCATCTCAATTCAAGGCGAAGAGGCTTGAGCTTTAGCTACCTTTAGGGATCTAGATTAAAATAAAGAAATTTCAGTACAGAATTATGAAACTTGTGACATATGTTAAGAATATTTGACAAAGAGTATATTTAACACTTAAAATGATGAGAATAGATGTGTGTATAACCTGGATTCTGAGACTGTGTCAGCGGTAGTAGGCCCTGCCTTACGAGGGGTGTTTGGCTCCAAGGACATTTCTGGGCTACAGATGGAGTCTGTGAGGTTGCTAAATGAAGATCAGGTTTCTCCTGTCCCAACCACACCACTGTGTCCTAAGCCCAAGTCCACCATGGAAACGTGCATATTGGCAGTCTGAGATGGGTAGAGCAAGGGCCTGGAGTTGGGAGAGGGCCTGAATCTTGGGGGCTTAGATGCCATTAGATTTCATTCGTGCTTCCATGTCCCTACACACACACACACACACACACACACACACACACACACACACACACACACACACACACACACACCCCCCCCACACACACACCCCCCCACACCAAGGGGGAAAAAAAAAGACCTGACATCTCTCTTTCTCTCCCTCTCCCTCCCCCGCCCCACACACACACACACACACACACACACACACACACACACACACACACACACGCACGCACACGCACCCCCCCCACACACACACACACCTCATCCTGCATCCAGACCTGGGCTCTGCCCTCCCCTCCCCACCCTGGCAGCCAGACTGGGAAACCACAGGTTTCTGCTTTGCTTCCTGTAAAGCACACGCCCATCAAGGATGGGCCATTTATCTCCAGAGGTCTCCTTGGAGAATCAATACTGTTTGGATTGCTTAATGGGAAAATCTGTGTTCATCATTTGGAAACCTCGTTAGTGGTCCTGCAGCCACTGGTGGCGTCACTCTTCTCAGGACTGGGAGGAGGAGAATTCAGTTTCAAAAAAATTCATCTTCCCCAAGGCTGAGCATTCCAGATACCCCAAGCCTTTGCCCCCAATCTTGGGATCTCCATTTCTCAGGAGAGAAAAGGAGACAAGGGATGTCAGGGAACTGGGTGTGGCCCTGGGAGGTGTGGGCAGCTCCCACTCCTGTGTTTCTACTCTCCTGGGCCTCTTGGTCCCTGGAAGCTAGTGAGGGGTGAAAGATTAGGGCTGATGGAGCAAGACCCTGTGCCTTCCTGTTTGGCACTCAAGACTTCCACCTTTTCTTTACCAGGCAAGGCTGTACTAGTACTGGCCGTTTGAGTCCTCCTGCTCCTCCTCCGGTGCTGCCTCTGCCCCTCCTCCTTCCTAGGCTGCTGTGTATCTTACCTCTGCATTTTGGTGTCTCAACCTCTGCCTCTCTCTGTCCCTGTCACTGTCTCTTTCTCTTCTCCCTTCTGCTGCTGGCGCCAGTTGACATAAAGGTCATCAAAGACCTACCTTGGCCTCCGCCTGTGGGACAGCTGGATAGCAGCCCCTCCCTGCCTGACGGGGACAGGGACATCTCCGGTCCAGCTTCACCCCTCCCAGAGCCCAGCCTGGAGGACAGCAGCGGTGGGTCCTTTGGGGACTTGTGGCCAGGGTGATAGGTCCTTTACCCATTAGGCCCTGTGGGCGTGGGTTGGAAGAAGCCCCCTTGTTACAGTCCATGTCCCTCTCTCCCCAGAGCTGGACGCTTGGTCTTTTAACAAAGGCCCTTCCTAGTAGGTTCTGCACCACACCACAAAAATCCCCTGCTGGTCAGCTATAACCCCAGCCCTTGGGAGTCTGAGGCAGGAGGCCTGCCTTGAGTTTGAGGCCATACTGATCTGCTACATAGTTCCAGACCAGCCTACGCTATAGAGTGGAACTAAGTCTACAAAAAGAAGAATCCATTGTTTCAAAATTTAAGTTCTCTTTGGGTGGAGCTTTGCCTGCCAGGGCAGGTGTTTGTGAGCATGGGGAAGTGCTGCATCTGGTGACTGAAGGACAATAAGGTAGTCAGTCATCAAGAACTACAAGGAGAAGGAGCCTCGGTTGGGGCAAAGAAGAAGGTATCAACTTCTACATCTAATGTTGCCCAGAATGAATAGCCAAGGGTGTGTGTGGTTATTCATGTATGTGTACAGGCATGGGCATCTGTTGTACATCGTGCATGAGAATTTGTAGATATTTTGTAAATTCAGGATAGAGACAGAGTCACCTGTGTGTGTGTACCTGTGGGCATGTGACCCACTGGGGGTCCCCTGGTGCTGACTCGGCTATCAGACTGCCCTGCTCTAGAGATGCTAGTCCCTGAGCTTCTCTGGATGGGGGAGGGAAAACAATGGGCAGCGACCTTGGGGTGGAGAGGGCCGGCAGCCTGGCGGCTTTGGACCGGATTAGCCTGTCAGGATGGCACCAAGGGGAATCAGATAATTGTTCTCAGATCAATAAGTCATTTCTACAGAATGGCTTGGCAAGGCGATTTGGAGAACGGTAATGAACTCTGAGGAGGAGAAAGAAACAATATTATCAACACTGAAGCTACCCTGAGGGGGGTGGAAGAAGGGAAGACAGTCAGCTGAGGGAGAAAGCTTAAGTGGTTTCTCATGTTTTGTCCTCCCTCGCCTGCCAGAGTGGACTGGGAGGCCCCAAGGGACCTGGTGTGGCTCAGCAACTATACCCCCCACCCCCATAGTGGCCCAGGCTTTTGTCCCTGGAGTTAGGCAGGCAGGCTGGTGAGCATGCCCTCCCAGAATATGCCTTTGACCCTTCTGGGGACTTGGAAGAAGTAGGGTGGGGAACTGGCTGTTTGAGAGGGTTGTGTCTCCAGGGATCTCAGAGTCCATGACCAGTATGTTCCTTACAGCCCAATTTGAAGGATCGGAGAAGAACTGCCTGTCACCTGGCCGGGAGGAGAAGGGACGGCTACCTCCCCGGCTTTCTGCTGGGAACCCCAAGTCAGCCAAGCCCCTGGGCATGGAACCTAGCAGCCCCCTGGGGGAGTGGACAGATCCAGCACTGCCTCTGGAAAACCAGGTGTGAGTGTCCGTTTCCACTGGGGACTCCCTCCCTCTTCCTCCCCTCCTGGCACTGGCTTCCCTGCAGGGGACACCCAGAATGGGTGGGCCTGGACGGCGAGGGACCCAGCAGAGATGCCCTCCTTCCCCTCTCTCATCCTCAGCTGGTACCACGGGGCCATCAGCCGAACAGACGCCGAGAACCTGCTCCGGCTATGCAAAGAGGCCAGCTACCTGGTGCGCAACAGTGAGACCAGCAAGAACGACTTCTCTCTCTCCCTCAAGTGAGTACGGATGACCATGGGTAGGGCCCACTAGCCTGCAGGGCAGAAGAGGATCCCAGTAGTCTCTTCTGGTCCAACCAGGCTGGGAAAAACCACATGCCCTGCAAACATCTACTGGCTCCACCCCAGGCACTGGCAAGGCTGAAGTGTCTGAAACTCCTCAACCCCAAGGAAAAAAGCACTTGAAGTGTAGTGTCCAATTCAAAAGGCTTCTGTCACTAGATGTCCAACGTCTTTGGGCCTTCCTTCCTTCCTTTCTTTTTTCTTTTTGAGACAGGGTTTCTCTCTGTAGCTTTGGAGCCTGACCTGGAACTCGCTTTGTAGACCAGGCTGGCCTCGAACTCAAAGAGATCTGCCTGCCTCTACCTCCTGGGTCCTGGGATTAAAGGTGTGCACCACCATCGCCAGACTAGGCCTTGGGGTTTTTTTTTTTATGATAAGATTGAATAAGATCCATTTTATTGGGAAGGATTAAATGAAATGCTAGCACTTGACTTAGTATTTTAGCACCTAGTCTTTAAGCATCACGCTAAGTGCTTAATAATCATTGTCATCATTGTTAAACCCTAACACGTAGAAGCACGACAAGGAGATATAGGAGCTTTACTTGAAGTAGTCAGCAGGGTGAGATGGGGGGGGGTGTCTTGGGAGGAGGGTAGAGCAGTGGAGTGGCTTTGCACCCATTGCTCTGTGTGTGAGGGGAGAGGAAGCGGTGGCCAAAAGTGGCCCTCCTTTCCCATCAGCTTGTTCCTTGGGGACAGCTCTACAGAGCCTAGACTCCCAGGCGCTCCATAATAGGATGGTCAGTGTGCCTCTTGGCAACCAGGAATTCTACCCAGGATAGCCTGCCATCCACATGAGGTGGCCATCTGGAGTGAGGTGTTCCGTTTACCTCACACCACATTTCCTGGAGCACTAGATACTGGTCTATGCCCCCTACACCTCTAACAAATGAGTAGAATTGCACACATTTATTCATGATGACTATTCATGTTCACCAGAAGAGGTCAGAATAGCGTCAGAGAGAGGTAGGTGGCCTTGGTTCTAATCTGGGGTTGATAAAGCTAGCTGTGTAACCGTAGACAACATTTAACTTCTCTGGGCCTCAGGTTGTCCCCCTTGCAGAAATGAGCTGATATGGCTTTCTTCTAGCTCTCGTATTCTAGACGTCCACAAGCTATAATATCAAAGAGGATGTTGGAGAAATTCATTTGTCAAAAGTCTGATTTACACAACTTTAGGTTGTGCATTGTTATTAAGATTCTAATTAAAATTCTTGGCACGTACCACCTAGCATATATACCATGTCCAAATCAACTACCACTCTGCTGATAAATCTCTTTTATACAGATGAAATAGATTCAAGGAGCTTTGTTACTTGCTCAAGGTCACCAGCTAATAATTAAGTCTCTAAGCTGGGCATGTTGATAGTAACTGTAGTCTCAGTTACTCAGGAAGCTGAGGCAGGATTCTGAACACCCAGGATTTCCAGCCCAGCCCAGAGACACAAACACCAGGACCTAGCTCAGTCTGACTTCAGGAACCACACTGTTCAGTGACAGGTTCTACTCCTCACCAGGTACCATGTGCCAGAAATCTGATACTATTCAGCTCAAAGGGAGACACGACCAAGGCTTGGGTCTTTGGAGTGGAACTGGGTAACTAGGGGTGAGGGACTGCCTTATTCTAGGGAATAAAAAGGCAGGCCGGGATGCCTGCTCCAGCTCTAGCTGATCTGGCCCCACAGGCTGTCTGCCAAGGTCTCGTTTGCATATAAATGGCTTCTCTGAAATACAATTATAGTTTCTCTTCTCTCCCTAATGGAAGGGCTTTCACTGGTAATTAAACAGCCTCCTCAAAGAGCCTTGCCAGCCCTGGGTCCTGTGGCCCAGCTGGTCCCACCCAACCCCCTGAGGGTCTGGCAAAGACCTTGCTGTGTCTTAATGGGCCCTTGGGACTAGTCTCCGAAGGTTGAAAAGCACAGATACCGGCTCCTCCAGAGGTTGGTAATGCAGATGGAGGCCAGGGTACCCTTCTTAGTGAGTCTATTCCTTGAGGAAACACCCTGTACAGTTTGAGAAAGGTAGTTCTCCCAAGTGGACTGTGGGAAGGAGATCACATTGTAAGGTGAGAGAAGACAGGGTCCACACTGCTTCCTACAGACATGGAAGCTGGCACTTCCTACCCTGTCTCCCCATTGCCCACAGATCTGTGTTGGTCTCAGCCTCAGCTCCTTTCCTTTAGGGCCTGTGTGGTCACTGTGTACACTAGACATATCTCAGACCTCCAGATGGCCCCACATCTTGATACACACCCAGGAAGATTCCTAAGGAAGACTTCAGGAAGCAGACCCCAAGAGAAGGGCCAGTTTTCTTCCACCCCTTTCTTCTCTTCAGTTTCTCATGTTCTCACTTGTTTCCCAGTGTAACAGGTCTAGTAAAGGCTTTATTTATTTATTTATTTATTTATTTTATTTGGTACCCAGGTAGATGGGATAAATGATGCGATTTGCCAACCTCACCTCTGGTGCAGAGTGTCAGAATGGAGGCAGTCTATAGATTGATTTTTGTTTGGCCACCAGCTCACACAAAACAGCACAGAGAATTATGAAAGCTCGGCCTTGGCTTAGGCTTGTGCCTAACTAGTTCTTATAACTTAAATTAGCCCGTATCTTTTAATCTATATTCTTTTATGTGGCTCAGATACCTTTACTTTGTACTGCCCATCCTGCTCCTTCCATGTCTGGCTGGCGACTCCACCTTCTTCTTCCCAGCATTCTCTCTCTGCCCCCAAGTCCTGCCTAGCTATTGGCCATCCAGCTATTTATTTGGTCAATCACAGCAATATATCTTCACACAGTATACAAATACCCCACAGCAGCGGCCCCTTCACGTGGTCCTGTTTCCCACACACAGGCCTCTAAGCCCTCTTCTTGCTCCTCTGGGCTGAGGCTAGGCGTAGGCAGTTAGGCTTCAGTGTTCTACCAAACATCCCTTAGCCTTTGCCTGTGGGTAGGCTATAGACCTAGGGCTTGGCAGACCAGGCCTGTGGCATTCTGGATATCGTTCTTGCTGAGTACAGCACCACTATACTTTCTAATGTGGGGGGCATTTGAGAGCTGGCTGGAGCGTTGCTCAGTGGGTCTCTAAAAGGCAGAGGACTAGCTGAAATGGACTTTCTGGGTTGTTCGGGGAGATGGGAGAGGCAATGGAAGGTATTCTATTGTCAGCATTTTGGGGTACAGGTAAAAAAGATCCACAATAACTCGAATTCCCCAAGAGTTCTAGGGATCTCAACTCAGGCCAAGCGAGGATTGGTGACTTTGATAGGAAAAGAATTTCAGGACTAGCCAATCTATGAAGTAACATTGGAGATTTTTATTAAAGTTATTTTAGTATATTAGCTAAGTATGAGGAGGAAAAGACATGCTCTGAAGAAAATAAGATATACTCAAGTGTGAGTACAGGCTCCTGGAAGGAGAGGGTTCGGCTCCTATTCTTTTGTTTTGTCTTGGTTTTTACCATAGTCATATGTGGGACTGAAGTTGAGTCTGAAGTTACTGTCTGACTCTGGTGAGCCCTTGATAGTATTGCTAGCACTAAAGTAAAAGTTAAATCCACAGGATACAGGAAGGTGGGATATCTTTGCTGTAAACAGGGTTTTGGTGTTTTGTTTTTTGTGGCTTCCCCTCACCCCCAAATTTTCAGTCAAACCATAGGAAAAGGAATGAGTCCTTCCCCAAGAGCATACACATTCGGGCCTTAAGACCTGCTCATTGCTACCTTAACATTAAATTTCTATATTAGAAAGAAATAGTCTGTGTCAGCAGCCTTTACCACAAATGTCAGTTGTTCGAGAATTCTTGCTGCTTTGCTGGCAAGAGGCTTCAATCAGACTCCAGGATGGGGGGCTCTCCTCCCCCCTCTCTCCTCTCTCCTCAACTCAGAGATCTCTTTCTATCCTGCCTCACTCTAAGTAACAGAGCCTCCAGATGATGTCACCCCAGGCCTACAGGCTGGATGGATGGACTGAGGGCTTAGTATAAGACCCAAGTAGTGAAGGGATGTCTCCAGGAGATAGTTGAGAGTTCTCAGATTTGGAGGGCTTTCAGATTAGTGTAGTCCCTCCCTAGACTGTGCAAAGGAGAGCTCCAACAAAGAGTAGCTTGCTTGTCACACCCACACACTCTCCCTCCTGCCAGGGGCATCTGTGGCTCCCCAGGAGTTACCAGGAACCCTCACAGGTGTTTCCATAAAGCTTAAAAGAGTGGGTAAGGCTGGACCTGTAATTCGGTTGGTAGAGTGTTTGCCTAGCATGTACAAAGCCCTGGGTTCAGTCCTCGGCACCCCATAAACTGGTGCACACCTGTAATCAAGAAGTAGAGAAAGGAAGATGAGGGGTTTGAAGTCCAAATTTGAGGCTAGCCTGACCTACATGTGCCTGTGTCTAAAACAAATCAAGGTAAGGTTAAACTGGCCTTGGCCGCGGGCTGATGGACTGAGATCACAGAACTGGAGGGTGCTGGTCACTGCACTTTTCTCCAGCACACACCCTGTACACTCACCATACACACATTCTTGGCACACCCAGTATTCTCACCACAAAGCCAGTGTCTCATGCTACCTGCTCAACCCCCCACCATCCCATCCCTATTCACCTCCCACTTGACGCTGGCTTTGGAATCACATTTGCTGGGTGGTGGTGGTGGGAGGGGTGGGGTCGAAGTAGGATACTGGGAAGAACTCCTGGTCACCAGGTTCTCTTCCTCTTCCTAGGAGCAGTCAGGGCTTCATGCACATGAAGCTGTCCCGGACCAAGGAACACAAGTATGTGTTGGGCCAGAACAGCCCACCCTTCAGCAGCGTCCCTGAAATCGTGCATCACTATGCCAGCCGCAAGCTGCCCATAAAGGGGGCGGAGCACATGTCCCTGCTCTACCCTGTGGCCATCCGGACTCTGTAGCTGTGAGGCCAGGGCACTATGATAGACCTGGATCCAGCTTTGTCACCTGCCGGAGGGCTGTGGTTCTTACCAAGGACGTGATGTCACAAACCTGGCTTCCCCTTGTCCTAGGATCTAGTAGGCGCTGAAGATTCCTTAATTTATTACAAAGGGGAAGGAATCCTGGGCCTTGGAGTAAAGGGGCTGTGTGGGGCTGGGAACAGAGGGAAGCTTGAGGAGGAAGGAGGCTCCCGCCCCTGTCAGACACTAGGGAGGAAGTGGCGACCTCCCGCACCACCACCCTCTGCCCCCTCCCCTCTCTCCTTCCCCCAAGCCCCTGTCCCCAGAGGGCCCGCCGGGGCTCCGGGCCAGAGGCTCCCCCGGGCGCGGCCGCCGGCGCCGCCCAGAGGCTGACGGGAGGGGCGGGAGCGAGCGAGCGCAGACTGTTTATAAATCGAGCTGACGCCGGCCGCCTGCGAAAAGCACTTTCGAAGCATCAGTTCCTTCCTTTGAGCAAACGTCAAGACGTCCCCCGCC